TTGTCAATGGTTTGTCTCCTGACTGCAACGTATTCCATAGGACCCCCCTTACCTGGGCGATCAAGCCATCCCTTGATGTCCTCTGGGTCAACCTCTGATGCCTCAATATCCAGTTCTGGATCATCTCCAGATGCGGAGCGGCCTCTTCGCACGAACCTTCAACGGGGGTGATGTTATTGGGAGAGAAAACCCGTTTTGCTCCCTTAGCGTGAGTTGTTGTTTAACAAAAAGATGTTTGGCAAACCCAACCTGTCTGGCAGTGTCTCCGCCACCCCATCATACAATATCCCCAAAAAGGCGTTGACAGATTGTGAGGATGCATGTCGCGTGCCCTTGCGAGATGCGCCGATTCTCATGTCTGGTTTCATCTCCAAGGCTCGACGAAATCTGTTGATGCCCATTGCCAAGACACTGCACAGGCAAACGCGCCCAATGGGTCGACCCAGAAAAGTGAACGAAGGATTCTTCTTCCCCTCACCAGCAAGTTGCCCATGGCATCCCACAAGCGTGCGCAACTCAGCTGTCATGCCACATTCAGGTTCAGATGTAAAGACATGAGCGAATACAAAAGAGTACAAAAGGTAAATGAGCACCACATGCAACAAAGGTACAAAAGAGTCTTGCTCACACTTTGCCATATTCCAGAAAGTTTCAAGGAAGCGCCTGCATTCAGTCAGGTCAAGCTGCTTGAAGCAAGTCTTCAACGCACCTTGGTTGGAAGCATGACGAAATGACTGGATACACATACATCATCATAGCGCTATATAATAACACCTTCTCCCCAATACAAAATAACAAAATGACATTTCGGGCTGGGAAGCCTGCCTTTACATGGGATTCTGTCAAAGGCTGGGAAGCCTTCTTATCATAAGCAGAAAAACAACATTGCAGGATATGATAGGATGAAAACTTACGTTATTGTTAAAGATAGGCGCATTTGCACTGCTGCTGTTTACAAAGCGCTTCTAGTCGTCCAGGTTGCAAGGCAGAATCCTTAAAGGATGTAACAACATGCTTCATGTTGTTTTCAGCTTGCTCAGATCTCTTGGTATTGTCATAGGGTCGCTTCTTTCGCTCCGGCTGGCTGAGCGCCACAGATTTCTGTAGAAACGAACTGTGGGAGAAGAGCTTCATGGCGGACCAGTCCAGATTCAAAGTTGCCTGCTGAGGCGATGCCCCTTCATCGTCCGAGTCTTCATTGTGTTGAGGCTGGGAAGTCGGCCGGCATTCTCTTTCCTCTCCCTCATCCCCAAATAAAACAATAGGGCGAGCAGAGCTAGAAGCCGATCGTTCAGCTCGTGGCTTTTTGGAACTTGGCCTCTCTTCGGGCTCTGCGCCAAACAACCGGCCAATTATCGCCACTTTCCTGACCTCTTCCGGCTCATCTTGAAAAAGGCCCTTTCCCACCTTGCCCATGCCATCAGCATCATGGCGTTGCAAAAAAGCTTTCTGTATGACAATGATTCTCATGAGGTTGGGTTGACACAAACTTGCTGGTTGGGACCAAGAACTTTTTTTTGAACGCTAAGGCTACCAGTCACATTAAACGCGTGAACCATGGGCTTGCCATGTCATGCCATACGCATACAAAAATTTAGCCGTGACTTGAGGGAAATGCATGAACAATTGTACGAATTAAATTGAGAGCACTTGCACATAGTTCGTTCTGATGTCAGTGGCACATTCCCACACAAAAGCCGACTATGTTTGGCCGCGGTTTTTACTTTTCATTCGGAGATTCAGATGCCAAAGCTACTTGTCACTCAGGCACAGCATTGCCACCAGCGCTGTGAAGCCAGCCGAGGCTAGATGCATGCCGTTTCCTGCCATTTTGTTCAGCGCCGCATTTGTAGCATCTAGAGTCCTCACATCCTTAGAAGCGATCAATGTCTTACATCCACAACCTGAATCACTTTGACTTTGCACCCTTCTTTAAACATCTACAGTAAACATTTAATGAAACATTTTTCTTTCAAGGGAAAATGAAATTGGATGAAAGTATGCGCTGGGTAAAGTCTAGTCTAGCATCAGTCTGAAGTTGATTGGCCATCGTTGCTCGACAGGGGTACCCCAGCGTAGCCAACATTTCCTTTGCCGTGAGCATGCGTTCCTTCTCACAAGACCTTGGGTCGGGCCATGTTCCCAAATCACTTGACAGTTCCAAAAAGCACCTAGCCCGGCCTGAAGTGATAAAACATTCTGAAGTCTACAGGTGAGTAGCCAAATGTGAGTATTCGTTGTGAGTGTCATGAGAGCACCGTCTGAGGTTTCTGTCCGCCGTCGATGGTCAGGGTTTGATGATAGGTCATAGAACCCTTTGCTCGGCCGTTGTTCCATGAATTTGTTCAAATGGTAAGCTTCTGAGGGTGAGAGGTCCTCTAGCATTTTGGAATGGACCTTGATTTCCTTCTCTGTTGCAGTAAGAAATATCAATGGGCTCACTCGCAACGGTGACCCATGTGGAACAAGGAATATTTTAGTAAGCTCTTTGAAGGTGTAGATGCAGTTCCAAAAGACCTTCTCAGGATCGAAAAGAATCCGCCATGCCCGGTTGCGATTTGTAGGCTCGCCAAACAAGCGCGGAGATAGCCTGGGAGCTCAGCAGAGCGGGGACAAAAACCATGCGAGGGACGATAACCTATGTGGAAACGCGAAAGAAACACAATATGCAACCTATGAATAAACCCAGAAACTCTGTCTTCTGAACGATAAAGCCGGTCTCTTCCTTTAAGTACTCATCTTCTGCATATTCTGTGACATTCTCATGGATTGCCAGCTTGGTTCTTGGAATCATTGCTGTGCTGATATCATGAAGCTGTTTTGTCAAAGGGTTTGCAAAGCCATCTTTCTTCCCCATCCTTGGATGTGGAAACAAAGCTACTTTATAAGAAACAACACTGACCTTGGGTTGAAGCGTTGAAAAAACAACCAGCAAAACTATATTACAAGCGTTGCTTCTTGTTGGTTTAGCTGTGAATCTTCGAGTGGGAGATGCATGGAGCCCCAAGGACACCCACAGAGTCATCGTAGAAGGAAAGACTGCACCTCAATTTGATCGTGAAAGTGGAACATGGCATGTCAATGGCCTCATTTACTTACCAGAAATCACATTCTTGGGCACATAAGACCACAATGAAACTTGTTTCAAGGCACTTTTTGCTGTGGGCGTAACAATTGAAATCCTTTGCCAGCTTCAGCTTTCGTGGTGACCACGCCTTGCCCTTGGCCGACGCAGGGATGGTCTTCAGCAGATCAAACATATCTGATGCGAGGCAGGTGTTGGGCCAGTGTTCATGCAAAAGCTTCTTGCAAGCGTTGTTCTTTTCTACCTCAGTGCAAAAGAAAACAGGCACCATGGGCCATGACGGGGCCTGACTCTGGTTGGGGTTGTCGGGGGGAGAAATTCATTGCAATAGAACACTTGCAATAACTGCTTGTGAGCCACCATGATCTCATATCCCACATTTAGTTTGATAGAGAATCGTTCTGCAATAGCACTCTCAAGCACCAAAATCGCTTCTCGGAAACATTCGATGCCACTGAATAGGCTATGGACTTGCCATGTCACGTTTCCTTGGGCGTCTAGTGCCATGGTGATACAAATGATAACAAGCAATGTAACATAACGTAACCACCCTACACCGACTTTGTCAATTCAAGTTCATTGCCACACAGTTTCGCAGCTTTCGTTTGACGTGCTCCTCCCCCCCAGAAAGCACACGCTCGATCCAGCAATATGCGTGGCCATTCGTTCACTGCCCGCAAGGATGTGGGCAATGGATATTCACTCCTGAGTGGCGCAGCATGGAACCGCTTTGATTTCATGACAACTTCTAAGATGTTCTATATAATCGAGTAAAGGCCAGTCAACTATTCTGTCTTTTTTGTTGTGGCAAGGCCAACTCAAAAGCAACTTCTGTTTTGCAATTGCTTTCTAGTGTCAATTTGGGAAGCACAACATGCCCATCATCTATGGCTGCAGCGGGCCGTTTCCTAGACATGTTGCTAGAAAGGCTCGAGCCAATCCTAAAAACAATGGACTCACAGTGCATCTTCAGAAGATTTGGCTTCCCAGCCACCCAAGAGCTTTGGCTTCCCAGCCGTCTTGGCTTGAAAAGAGCAGTTTCACAAAGCGGAGCTGAAAGTGATTGGTACAGCCCCAGAAGATGACAAGAAAAGGTTACTGTACTGAATACACGACACCCCATGAACAAAGAAGGTTCAGGTTTAGTTTGCAAGAGGTTGAATGTAAATGGGGCTTTGCCACAGGATTGCGGCTGAACTAGATTGAAGTTGAGGCCCTGGCGATTGATAGCAAAAGGTCAGGCCTGAGCGACGCAACCACCATGCGCGATGCCGGAACATCAAAGCGGGGTTGAAGCTTTGGAAAAAATTCGTTGCGAGAGTGGCTGGGAAGTCCATACTGGCTAGCCCTGGTCTTTCAATGGAGACTGGCTGGGAAGTCCATACTGGCTGGGAAGCCCTGGTGTTTCAATGGATCTTAATAAAGCCTACAGTAAGTGTGTGTGTGTGAGAGAGAGAGAGAGACAAAGACAGCTGAGGCCAATGCTGTTCCCTTCTTGACCCGCATGGTGTGCAAGTCAGACATGCCTAGTTTCACACACATGCGCAAGACTTTTCACAAGCCAAACTGAAAAGTTCCAAACATGTCGTGAACATGTTTTTTAAAGCAATGTTATGAACATAGCTGAGCCTCTGCCATATCTCGTAATGACTGAAGAAACGCCGCCCCACGACTTGCCCCAGAGCACCTCCTGCACGCACCATGCGCAATGAGCCTAGGCTTGAATAAAGGCAAAACATTGCAAAAAGTGTTCATTTCCTGGCGGTCAAAATGACAATCACTGCCTCCTCGTTACATGGTTGCATGATGTCTTCGTCTTCAAGTTTAAGTCCAACTGAACCAGGAACCAGGCAATGGAAAGCAAACAGCACTAAACCAACGTCCCTGATTATGTGCAAGATCATTTTTCTGGAAGCCCAAAGCTCGATGATCCCTGGCTCTGAACTCAAGGGCAGCAGGTGGGGAGCTGTCGAAGTCATAAAACATGCCATCCCATCAAGATGCATTGCAGACCATCACCTGCGCTTCCTGTGCTCAAAGCACGAATGATGTTTGTGGCCTTCGGCACGAGTGCATGCCTCCTCGCACCAACGACACCTGAACCCACAAGACCACGGCGTGCGCAACGGTGGGCGAGACTGCTGTTCTGCATCTTCAACCACACAGAAGGAACTAGTGGAGGACGCATCAGGCATTGAACTTGCTGCCGGATTTCCATTGCCCAGCCGCTTCTTCAGCGTCGCCCAAATTGCATCAAAGATGCTCAACAAGTCTTCTGTAGAAAGAGAAGCCCAGTCAAAGGTCAACAAAGGTTCACTCATTGTAGACATAGCGCAAAAAAAACACAAGGGTTCCCACCCAACGGATCACTAAACAAATCCCACCTGACAACTTTGAGCGAAGGTGATCACGGACATGCATTGAGCAATCAACTGCAAGCAGCCCCTTCCCTTCCTTGCAAATGTCAAATGTCGAACGTTTCTTGTTTGCATGCACGCCAGTGCCCAACAAAAAGAAAACCAAAAGAAATCACTGAAGCCCATGAACTGGGGAACCCGACGTGATGAAGGCCGCTCGGATTTGCAACCGGCCCAAACGGCTGCAGCAAGACTTCCCAGTCTTCTAGCGCTGACTTCCCAGCCAGCAAGCACTGACTTCCCAGCCAGCAGGCACTGACTTCCCACTCAGCAGGCACTGACTTCCCAGCCAGTGCTGAATTGGCTTTGAGGGAAAATGATGAAGCGTCAGGGATTATGTTCTAAGTCTCTAAGATATCAAAGGCAATGATGATGTTGTGACATTAGTTGCAAAAATGTGTTTCTAAAGCCCTGACTGACGGGTACACTTCAAAGTGTAAGAACTGATGGGCCCTACAAAAATACTGGGGTGGTAACCTGCAATCTATGATTGGACAAGTAAAGCAGCAAGGCGCGTGCGTGCGACGACATCATGTGTTTCAAAAAACAAATTGTGTTCAGAAGTAATTTGTTAGCTTTGATTTGGGCTCAGACTCTTGTTTTAGATCAATAAGGCCCTTCAACTGTGCCAATGGAGAGTTCTGCGGCAAGCACGCCATCAGTAAACTCTGAGATCAGCACGCCGGCCCCAAACAACAAGAGCCCCGAGGACACCCCAACAAATGTTGAAATGTTTTTTATGTTTTTTTACATACCCAAAGTATTTTTAACCATGGTGGCTTTCGGTGGCTTTGAAGGACACTATCTCGCAACAAGACAATCTACAAAGCGGTCATCCATTTCCTGAAGCGCCTGATTTTGTCCAGTACAACCCTGAGATTTGGGATCTTACTGTTCCGCTACCTGATCAGAAGATGGAAGATTCTCAGAGCGCAGGGCATGATATGGATGTGACAGAAGGTGTTGGAACTGGAAGCGCTGAGGAGGCCTTCAACCTTAAAGTATGTTTTTAACGTTTTTTCGGAACCTGGTTTTAGAGTTTTTTAAAAAATAATGAGTGCCACTTTTACTTCTAATTTCACTTGCGGAGGCCAACCATGACTTGGAGCCAGAGGGTGCTTCCAAAGCTTCCAAAGTTGTGAGAAAGGGGGCTCTTAAGAAACCCGCGGCCAAAGTGTGAGCGGTGTTTTGGACAGCGTTGAGTGGAAAAGACGACGGCGTTCAGTGGCTGATGGTGTTATGGCTGGGAAGCCTGTGGCTGGGAAGCCTGTGGCTGGGAAGCCTGTGGCTAGTTGTGAAAAAGTTTTTTTTGTTTTGTCATGAAACCTTGGGCTCCTAAACATGCAACTCTTGGGTGGTATACATAGCTGGATCAATTACTTATATACATAGGACTATAGCATCCTATCCCACTATAGGATCCCCTCCACAAAGTGCATGTCAACTTTTTATGAAAATAAGTTCTCTCCCAGAGAAACATTTTGCCATCTAATCATCTCAAATATCCATCTAAATACAATAAATATAACTTTTTAGCACGCGGAACAACCTGTGGAGCTGGAAGCTGAGAACTGGCCACTTTGTAGTACGCGGAGGAGTCATCTCTCGCTGCTGAGTCAGCTCTCGCTGCTGTGAGTCATCTCTCGCGACTGAGTCATCTCTCGCTGCTCAATTATCTCTCGCTGCTGAGTCAGCTCTCGCTATAATAGCCATCTCTCGCTGCTGAGTCATCTCTCGCGGCGTGCAGGTTTGGCACAGTTCATACTGATAGTATTTGGTTGCATTTATGCAGGACAGGACATTCAACTGCTGGTGAATACACCACTCATCATACACCACTCAGCATACACCACTCATCATACACCACTCGTCATACACCACTCATCATACACCACTCGTCATACACCCCTCTTGTCGTGGCAAAGATACAACCCAGTACGCTGTTGTGAGCTGCTGATCCTGCAGGGGGCACACACCTTACACACGTGGAATCCCGTGGGTCAAAAGTCCGGAGCGCGTGCGTTTGACTGGAGGACGCGCATGTTGGAGAGAACGTGGACACTCATGGTAAAACCTGCCATACATGGCTTCTGAAACCACTCAAGAGCCTGACATGCAACCAGAACCTGTGGTCTTTTCTCAGGAGTTCGGATTGATCCTGAACACTGAGCATGTGTGACCTATGGCCTATGGCATACTTATAGAGGGCCCCTTGCTCCTTGTATAGAAGCTATCTTCATCAACTTACTAGCGGTTTGCGCGGTGTGCGATGGTGCCGAAGAGTTTGTTGGACGAAAAGGTCTCGCATTAGAGAGCCCTGCGAGCTTAAGAATTTGCAAGATGATGAAACGATCCAAGCTAGTAGAGGGGGGTTATTGTTTCAGAGTTGAACGCTGAAAGCGTTGACATGTGAAACTGTGTGAACCTGGAAATATTGACTGGACACATGATGAGTCGGTTCAATTCATTGAATCTACCTGTTTTCATTGGTTCTTGCAAAAGAAAGGGTCCAACCCAACTGTGATTGTAGGATGTATAGTCCAGATAAGTTCAGGACCATCCAGCGGGTGTCCAAGTAGTGTCGCCCACAAGTAGTCTATTGGTCTCCACGAGCGTCCCTTGGATGGTTCAGGGTTGTATAGAGTTTTTTTGATATATTGTTCCAAACTTTGGAGTTCCAACTATGCGATACCTCCTGACAAGACATGTTTCTTCAAAACATTGTCCCAAGCAGAGAGATACTTGTGAAGTCAAATTGTTGATTCTTTTTGACCTATCTATTCAGTCTAATGGTGACACAGCCATAGCAGTTCTTTGTTTTCAAAATGATTGCAGGATTTAACACTTGCATCGGGATCAGGGGATACCTGAAGCTAAAAATGGAGACGTTTCCCGCTAAAGCGTTCAGCAAGAAAAGAACAACATGGTTCATGGTTGTGTTTGTTCGATGTGGGGTGGCTCCTTCTGTTTATTTGGCTGAAGAACTGACACTTCGATTAACACCCTTCCAAAAGCTTGTTTTTGAGACATGAGTTTTTGCAAGATGCTGCACGTGATGTTCACAGCCAGATCGCCAGGTGCGTTCTTGGATGAAGAAAGAAGAGAAGTCTGGGCTCATGAGGCGGTGGCTTCTAGCACAAAACGCTTGCTTCCTTTGGTAGTCCAGAGTGCCTGACGATCATCAAAGGCTGACGACAGGTGGGTTGAGGGAGGCAAAGGGCCGAAGTGAGCATCATCTACCAATGTGGCTGTGGGTCCAAACCTGGAGCCCGACCCGTACGATATATAACTTGACCTGCCAGGTAGGTCAACCAAGAAATCTCAGGTTTGACCCACAGCCACATATTTTTGGGATCCAGGACTGAGTGTGAGCTTGTGGTCACATCTATACCTTCTCATCGCAGAGGGCTTCTCCTCTCGCACCGATGTCCGATCCGAGGATGAAGTGCCGAGCCGTGAGCGACGGTGCCATAGGCGCGCCCGCCACACCGCGCGAGTGTCGGCGCTGTGGCGGGTCGAGTCGGCGGGTCGCCGGTTCGGAGTCTTCGGTTCGGAGTGGGAGGCGTCAGTGAGGACGGATGTGGTCGGTTCGTTGTTGAGAAGCGGTATGGTGTTCGTTGTTGAGGACCGTCTTTCGATGGTCTTGGAGGGTCTTAGTATGTCTAGACGGTCCTTATTGTTTTATTGTTCAAGACGTACGGTGTTGGAGTGTCCTGAAGCCGACCTGTTTCAGATGCCAACCATTTTCAGGCGAATGGGGCCATGGATGATCTTTCCACGAAGCAACAGTACCTTCCAAGGCTTGGTTTAGTCAATGTCATGTTGCCGGTTGTCCTTCTCAGGCAGGGACGGTCATGGTGTCACAACTCCTTGTTTCCACAGGGACGAATGTGTCATACTTCTGAAATCTTCTGAAGTCAGTTTGACGAATGATAGACACCTTTAGAAACCAAGCAAAGAGCTAGAAAGAGAAACTGCTGGTGAATGGCGGGTCTGGCGCATTCACCAATAGAAAACTGTGGCGAAATGCCCCACACCTTGGCAGAAGCGGCGAGCGAAACGCCTGCACACCGTCTGCCTCATCTTGGCTCCAGCTCCACGGGGTTTGGAGGGGCCACATGAGGCCACGAGGGCAGGGGCACAACGATTGCGAATCCCATAATAAATGACCGACTAAATAATATGTGATTTCTCATGCCCAGACAAGTCAGACTCATCAGGTGTGCCTATAAACACATCTTTCATTGTTTGACGTTCTCTTCTTCACACGTTCACCGTCTGAGTCGCGTCGACTGAGTCGACGCGGTGGAGACGGAGCGTGTCGTCGTCCATGCTCCGAACACTCGTGGCACTGCTGGCGAGCGGCGCTTGGAGTTACAAGCTGTCGCTCGTTCCCAATGAAGTCTCCAGGCACCTTGACCCGACCCGCGGCCGGGTGCAGGGTGTTCGAAGCCGGGACGCCGAACTGGGAGTTTCCAAATGGGGCGAGACACGACCTGTTTGGGACTGGCGAAAGGGATCAATGCCAGTCTGTTTGGGTCTTTTTTTGGCCGGGTGCGAGGCCATCCACAAAGGCTTCAGAAATTGGACTTTGGGCAGAAGCAAATCTGTTGGGCCTCAAAGCATGCATGCAGACCCCGTGATATGGGGATGGGTCATGACACCTGGAGCTCGACCTGTCCACCATTTATGACCTCCTAGGTAGGTCAACCCGGTCGGTATCCTGGTGCCAGTTCCCCACTGCCATACAGTAATATACAGTAATGCATGTTGGGGATCCAGGACTTTGTTGATTCGGATGCTTTTGGACTCTAATGGACTCAGGTGCTGTGCATGCTGACCTCCAAAGTTCTAAGAGTTCGTGACCCGAATCGAAAGGTCGGGGGCGGCTTGGTGGTGGAAGATGTGATTCGAGAAGGGCACAGAGGATTCTTGATGACCCCGAGACAAACACATTGAATCAACAGTCAAACATATATACTGTATATGTACATACCTTGAGATGTTAATAGATGTGAAGTCCACAAACAGAAACAAAAACAACACCTCACTCAATCTCATTCAGTGCTTTTTGCCGTCCATTCGATCGAGTGCTTGTTTTGGCCTGGGAAGGATCTACAATAAAAAGGTTACTTTTTGTGTTGGGAGAAATTGTTTGGGAGAAAACATGGAGGAACCCACCCTTTTTGTCCACCCCTGTGTTCTTTTTTGGAAGCGTCATGACGATCTCTTGCCTGAAGGCAGGCGTTATCATCAGCCGGAGTTCTGCAGGCCGGAGTTCAGCATGTCATCACGGAATGCTGTGATCTATGCAATGGGTCGAGGGTTGCAGAAGGTTGTTTTGGCCCAGCCACACATAACCACTCTTGCTGCATTGTGCTGAGCTTTTGAAATCTCAGCACAAGATTATGGTTGTTGCGTGCGTATTCACGTGTATTAACTTCGAACCTTTGTCCTCCTTGTAGGAAGACTGCAAAGCAACATGCCTTTGTCATCACTTCAAGGCCCGCTAAACATAATATCTAAGGATGTGTTTTTCGGTCCTGGACCAGTTTGTCATGCCACTCCTTTTGTCAATCAGTTGTAGCTTCAAACCAGTACTCAGACTGACTCAATCTATGAAATATAATCCTTCATAATCCTTTATAGTCTACATGGACCCCTGAAAGCCACAATGTCATAGATGGAGTGTTTGGGGTAAGAACATGTGTGTGTTTTTTCCTTCGCTTTCTAACCGGCTCGTGCTCCAGGAGGTGTCCTTTCTCGAAGGACGGGAGTCACCTCCTTCGGACAACGCCTGGACGTGACGTGGAGGTTCAAGTATTTCCTCCTGCGATGATTTCAACATGGAGGGGGTAAACATATGACCATGCATAAACCAATTACTGTAAGTTAAAACGATCTCAACTGAGTGAGGACCGTGCGTTTGGGCAAGGGCAGCAGTCTTGATCTTGTGTGGAGAGCCTGCAAGAGACACGACAATTGAAAGAATGGGGGTCCGAACATTTCAGGTTTGCATTGAATCATTTTGACACCACAAATGCAGCAGATGGGTGCGCCGTTCAGCAGAAGAACGACACGGGGTGTGGCAAACGTGTCGCTGTGAAGCTTGGGATCTCGAGAGATGCAATAAAGATCAATAAAGCAGTGCGAAGCAGTGCAAAGACCTTATAGGATCCTATACCAGCAGTTCCAAAGGAATGGTTGTTAGATGCTTTTAGCCCCCAAGTGAGTGGATGTTCTGGGCACCCTTATCCTCGAATAGGCACCCCTTTGTAACTGCTGGTAGGAATCAATGTTCGCTCGGAGTTGTTTTGCCTTTGCTACACTGCTATCGCACCTCTACATAAAAGGATCGTTTTGGGACACACCCAAGCCATCCAAGTTCGCCCGATTGGCCCGGAAACCAAGGAAACTGCTCCGAGATCTCGGGCTCCCTGTGGTTCCAAAGGATTCCAAAGAAAAGGAACACGAAAACAGAAGCCCTGCATTCCTTACGGAGCCACTCGATGCCCCCCTACGACCTGGCCCTGAAGTAGGAGATGAAGCAACACCGTCGTCGACGCTGAGACCCACTATGGCCCCTGGCGTCGTTTCGAACTTACAGAGCATTCTAGAGCCTTGGACCTCTTGGACCTCTTGGACCTAAACTCTTCCGTGACGCGGTCTTTGCCGATGGAATTGGGTCCGCTGGAACGAGTTCCTTCGGACCTGAAAGGAAGAAACACGAGTTCGTTCGGTCCATAGTTCAAGTTTTCACTGGGGTGGAAGCACGTCTCCCGGGTGACCCGGTTCTTCCACGCGTTCCCGCCGCGGTTGGACGTTGGGCTCGTTGGGATCGTTTTCACCCCCCAATAGTGACCGAGTGCTCGAGTTCTCGAGGCTCGAGGAGTTGAGAGTTCCCTCTGCACGAAAATTCAGGCTTTGGAATCAAATGTTTTAAGCAAAATTGAGAACTTCAAACATCTTCAAACCATGCATGGTGCATGCGGCGCATGGCATGAATCTATATGAATCCTTTGAACATCCTTTTTGAACCTCCCCCCCAAAAAAGAAGGAAGACGATGGACTCGCCGACGCGTCGTCCGACGGGGCTCGGGATTGGAGGGGGCCGATTCGACTGGAGAGGCTGGGAGAACGAGGTTGGGAGGGGAGGGGACCCACCCGGCCCAAAACTGGAACGAGTCACCACCGTACCCCGCACACCCGCCCACCCGGGTGAACGGAGCAGAGCAGCCGGGTGGTGCCTGAAGTCGGCGGATCGCTGGCCTTCTTGAGGAGAAGGTGGATGACCTTGAACATCAGAGCTGGTTTCGGGGCGTCCCACCAAATCCAGAAGCTTCACCTGTTCCCAAAATCCATCGGCTCGGTGTCCTCCTCCGTTGCTCGCGCCGTCTCGCTCCCCCCAGGAGAGGCTCTCTCAGGCCGTGGAGGCTATCAGCGGACCGGCCGTGAAGGTGGGCGGACCCGGAGGAAGACCGGGTCCGACGAGCGTAGCGCGCTACTACTGCGTGGTGCGGTGCGGGGTGAGCAGCGCTTCATGAAAGGTCCATGTGAAGTATGACTAGAAGCGCGTCTGACCCAATGAGGAAAACAATAAACACGAAACACACAATTCATATCACAATGAATCGTTTGTGACTGACCCAAACTTTTGGCCTAATTAAGCAGTTTTAAGAGCATCCCACACAGCAATACGATTTTGCCGAGTTAGTTTCTATAGGAACGACACCCTGGAACCGTACGACTCCCTTCAACCATGGTTTACGTAGGCAGAAGGCACGTTCATGTTAGTAGCACCACCAACAGCAACAGCACCAATTTTGAGTCATTTCCAGTCTATTGCGTCAAAAAGATGGCTTGGTTGGGAAGCACAAGTAGCAAACACAAGACGCAGACAACATGGAATAGCGTAGATTTGAGATTGATACTAGTAGGGTAGATCAACCTGCGGTTCTGATGCTTGCTCCAGTGATTTTGACCAATTTGGGCCTCACGTGCGGTGGTTGGGTTTGATTCTCTTTCGATCCTTGGAAAACGACATGTCAGACATGGTTTCTGAGAAGTTCACCAGTCCCCCCCCGAACATCACGGCGCAGTGTCAGAACATCACCTCGCTCCGGGTGAAACGCCGGGCTCCCGCGCCAGGACCCGGCTCCGTGGTCCATTCCCCGACGGTCCCCCGAGAAGAGCGGGACGCGTTTCCGGGGACGCGAAAGGATGCACGTCAGTGAGCAAACAGAGGTTTTTCACATCCATGGATCAAATCCTTTTCGGAAACCCAGGGCGGGGTGGTTTGCTATCGAATCGGCTCAAGGACATACTGACATGAACAGCCTAAATGTCAGACTTCTGACACGTGGAAGTTCCTTGATGACTTTTTGTTTGCCCTTTCAATGGCTGCTCACAGATCAGCTGACAGCCTTCCGATACAATTGTACATGTTTTTGAATCCCGTTTGACATTTCCTCTATGGACTATTTTATATAGTAACAATTTCTCTCTATAGAATAGAGCCACTCAGGGTTCCAGATTCTAAGAAAAGCACCCTTTCAGCTACATGTTTCCGTGAGGTTGCAACATCCTGGGAGGTCAGATTTATAGAGAGGTGTGAGGAAGGTATAGCTTTCTGTGAGTTTTTTGCATGGTCACATGGGGGTTGTGAATTTATAGTAAGGTTGCTGTTGTCGTGTAGGTTTGTTACGTTAGCCTCTGGGTTCAATGAATAATGTTGATGGTGTTGCTTTTTGATGATCCTCACGATTTTTTATTGTTCAGTTCATTTTGGTACATCAAGTTTGCAAGTTGTCGGATGTTGTTGGAAATTTTATCGGAAACAACTATCTTGTTTCACATTGTTTTAAAATGTTTCAATAGGATCGCTTGATTTTCTGATATATTTTGCTGTTGGGTTTGTCTCGGAGATGGGGTTGTGATCTTTAAGTTATCGGATTTTTCTCCGATTATATAATTCTCGTTAGGTTTCCATTCCGACTAAGGGGGTTAGATTAAATGTTATAGTGATGTCGTTTTGCCAGGACTCAGATTCTATAAGGATTTATGTGTCCCGAAGCTGGGGGAGCCAAAAGTCCTTGGCCGAGAAAAACCGTTTGCATGACTCGAAACCAGCATGAAACCTCCAAGTCAAATTGGGGTTGTCAAGATGTATCAAGGCCGAAGTTGAAAGAATTACCAAAGTTCACCAGGTGCGGAGCAAATGACTCGAATAGACTCGACAGGTCAACATGCGCTTCTATGCAGCATGTTCATTCTGATCAGAGCAGATAGGCCGTACGAATCCATGGACAGGAACATGTTCCCCTTCAATACAGCAGGAACGAACCTGTTGAGGTATTTGGCAACTTCTCTTGGGGAAATGGGCCTGTTGTCAGGTAATGGAAAGAATAGAACCGCGGCATCGCGTGTGTATATTGGAACACCATGCCCTGGTTTTCTCCAAGGTTGCTCTTCAACCACAAGGTCAACCTCTTGAAAGCAGCTGACTCCAGCCTGGACAAGGAGAGCAAACTCCTGCGCGAGAATGTGCGTCACACAGTGCCTCGTTTGGCACGATGTCACTGGAGTGAGGCTTGATGGAAGTCCGGCTCCTGCCTCAGTGGCAACAGGACCCAAACCTATCTATGGTGTTGCCCTCCCCAACATGTCTGTTTGGAACACCCCAAATGATACTGTAGCTCGTCGCCCTTTGCTTTTGAGCCCGAGAGGCTGTGGCAAAGCACGTTTCTAGCACCTGTGATGTTGCGTTGGATCATCTGACATATATATGTAAAAATGTTACAAAGTTCCTTAACTTAGGCCCGTTGGAACTGGGGGAGGCCAATGAGTTAAGGCAAGGAGACTGGATACTTCCACCCTCACGGTTCCAACTGCCTAGAGTCCTGAAGAGCTTCAGACAGGGCATTGAAGAAACGGCGTGCCTCTTGGCACTTGTTGATATAGGTTGGCTAACTTGCTTGGACGTGTTGCGGTTTGTGAGATCAGCTGCTTCACACACTGTACTGTGGGTAACCCATGTCCATGTACTGTATGCATAACTCCTGATTTTGGGGGCCATTCAGATCATTCAGATCATATCTCAACCACCATATAGTGTTCTTGAATGTGTCGCTGCCCACATAAACCTCCTTAAGTTGTGTTTTATCTTGTTGGTTCCCACCGCATCCGGCGTGTGCTGACCGCACTGGCGGTATATGGCGCATCGCTAAACCCTACTGCAGGTGAAGTTGTTCCCGGATGTGGCACCGTCCGACGTGCATTTCTGGGACGACCACGAGTGCCAAAGCGGGATTGAACAATTGCCACTGGAGGATGGCGAGCGAAGCTGCTCAACGTTGTGGGGGGGTTCTGAGTGTTAGGCCAGTGTTATAGGTGAATGTGGATATGTCGTTTGGAGCATTTGTTGGTACTGGACTTTGTTGCAAGATTGATCAAGATTGCATCTACCTTACCTCCAACAAACATGGCAGTGGACAACCACCAGTGGGAAAATCACTGAGCAAGTCACTTTCTACTTCTATGTTTCTCGGGGTAAGGACCCCTTACGTTTTTTCTGAAAGGAGCCCCCTTTTTTAGGAAGGGTTTTGATTGAAGGAACTCAAAGGTGCCCAACTCATGTCAACGCATTTGGCATATGTTCCAACAGAGGTGGAACGTGACCTGAACGTTCGGACCTGGAAAACCTGGGGTACCGAACTGGGATAGTCTAGTTCGGGTCATTCAACCTCTGTTGGTTTTGATGGGTTCCTCGATGTGGCTATATAGGTCCTTTTGGTGAGGCCCACCCAGATCCATCGGCGAGACAGATTCATGTCAAAGACCCTCCTGCAAACGATCCCATGGAACCTGAGAATTCACCCGTAGGACCATGTTTCCTTTACAACTTACAACTTAGTGATTTTTGAGGGCTGAATGTTCATTTGCAGCGGAGTTTTATTCATGCATCGCCCTTCATGATCACCAACAGATCGTTCCTTGGAAAACCATGGTGGGTGCGTCAATCGTCTTCAGAGCATGATGCATGATGTTGCGCAGTCAATCCTACAATTGTAGGATCCATCCCTCAGGATGGGATCAATCCTTGAGGAGAATCACAGTCACTCTCTTGTGGGCGAAGAAATGGGAGAAGTACGCAAGAGGTCTTGGCAGTTGGGGTGTCAAGCTAGGGATTCCCCAAAACAATGATCCAACACCTTCTGGGTCACCCTCTTATTCAATGGATTCCAGGACCTGATCATGTTCATGTTTCTCTTGTCATGTTGCCCGTCATCATGGATGTCCTCCCACACCCTTTGGCAAGCAACGAAGCGTTTCTTTTTCTTTCATTATCTTCTTCACATCGTGCTTTTCCATGGTGATGTCCTGTTTCAAAGCAAACCTCAACACCCACACCTTCCACCCGGCGCTCCAGGAGAGTGAAGCTTTGGGGCTGGACTTCGCCCGGGAGAAGGTGGGAGAGACTCCCTTCTTCGCCCATCCCACATCCACCACAGTCTGTCCTATACTCACCTATGGCCAAAAAAACTACAGGCTTCCCTTAGGACCCTATAGCCCTGTACTCACCTATCTACCACAGACCAGGGTCCTAGCTCTGGTCTCTCAACCTGATAAGGGATCGATTGTTGAGGCCATTCACATCCCAATTGCTCGTTGGAGTGTAACGGATGCCATTCCAAAGACATTCCACCTCAAAGACATGCTCATTTATGTGCGTATGTATTCCGGTTGCTACTCTGGTGTTGTTGATTGTTCCACAGCTGAAAAGGTTCGCCACCACGGGCGCACGGATAGGTGGGTAAGTTTGTTGTTTGGATGCCTGGCTTAGTTATAACAGTAGTCGGGGAGCATTCATGAAAGCCAGCAAAATGTCCGACATGTTCATGGAATTGTTGATCTATCCCCCTTATTTTCGCTACAAGCAATTCAGTTCTGGACTGACAGCTAAAAAGGAGCAGATTAGTCTTTAAAGACTCATGATGATGGCATGTGGGTGACGGCATCGTTTTGAGGCCAATGTGCTGGCTCGTTTTGTTGATGGATGTTTTTCACGGTGTGAGGATGTGTGAGTATGCAATCCCTCCAAACTAAGAAATAACAGGTTGACAAACTAAGATGTTGACCGCGGCTTTGACGGAAGCTTTCATCACCCCGAGAGAGAAGTCTTTCAGCTCCAGCAAGACTTCGCAACGTTTGCCGATAAGTTCGCTTCTGGATGTCTTTCTTTCGCAGCCTCAAGGGTCAATCCTGTGGCATGAATGTACTGGACCATCAGGACCAACTGATAGGTTCTGGCATGGTGAGGTCTTCGGACAGCTGCTGTTTTCTTCTGTTCCACTGTTCCGCTAAGGGCCACGCGCCAGGTCTGCATGCAACACGAAAGGGCGGGCGACATGTCGTCAGAGAAGGGGGGGATGAGGATCTTGGGCCCCCCACCTTTTTCCGTCGGTTCCCTGGACCTTCAATGAAAGGAGCACCTCAGCACCTCCCTTCCCTTTGCCTTTCGGATGTTCTGACCCACGAGGTGGGAATGATCAAATCGGACTTGTGCCGTCTGGTGATGATGTACAAGCTGGGTGGCTACTACTTCGATACGGATCCTTGGTATCAACGAAATGCTCCCACCTTCCTCCAAAACGAAACTCTCACCGTGCTATTTGGACGTACGCTTCTGCAGATTCACATGAACCCTGAAAAACACTGGGTTGTAGAGGAAAGTCTTGTTCCAGAAGTCCTTTTTCAGGGTCCATGTCAGTTTGCAAGAGGATAGAAAGGAAACCTCGGTGTCAAAGAGCAAAGACACCTATCAGTGTGATGGAACACGCCATTGAGAGTATGAGTGCTCAGAAACAGACGTCGCAGCATCATGTAGAAAATTTGGTGATTGCAACTCCCTTTGAGGCTCCCGCCACTGGAACTGCTGAGGATTGGATCACCCGAAGGCTCCTAAGGTGGATCACTGCGTAGATTGGAGTTCCCCCCCTCAAGGTGGATTGAACCATCATTTTTGTTCAGAAATCATACACCAACTCCCTCAGTCGGATCGCGAGATGTCGCGACCCGCTTGCAGTCGGCGTGCCCGCCCAACTGGCGCGTCGGACAACTGGCGAGGACATCCTTCCACTCCCGAACCTCGAGCAGCACCTGGAGCGCCAGGCCACCTTTGCCACGGTCATAGCAGACGATGGCAAGAGCTATTTCCAAGCGTGCAGTGGCAGCAAACTGTTGGACCCAATCCAAACGAGTCTGCCAAGTGAAAACAGAGTCAAAGCCTGTCTATCAACCACCCGATCTGGGTGGTGCTGGTACATATTTAGCTGCTATCGCTGCAAATACTGTCTCCAGCCTCCGGTGCATGGCGATGCTGTTTGTTTCCTCAAAAAGGTGGGAATCCGGAGGGCGTTGCACCATGGCGCGGCACGTTAGTGAGGCCTTTTGGGTTCGGAGGCTTTTGGGTTCGGAGGACCTTTTGCTGCTGTGTGCTCCCACCTATTCTGCATGCCATTTTCGGGTAGTTGATGAGTGAATGCGCTTACCTTACTTTACACTCAGCGCTGCGTGATCCCAGCACAAGCGTGTCTCCTCGCCAGTTCTCTTCGATCCAGTTAGGGAAAACTGAGACCACTTTGACCAGTACTTGACCCAGTTGCTGATCTTTTCAGAACACCTTCGCTTCACCGGCTGAAACACTGGCTGCTTTGGCTTCTGTGGCCACGCAACCCTGTTCGTTGAGGTTCTTGGCTGCGACGCCCAAGCATCCAGTGATCCTAGAGTCTCTGAAGGAGTTCAAGCGTTGGTATGACCAGCTGAATAGGCCTGGCATCAATCAGGACGACGGGCCAAACGGCGCGCGGATAAGCTGCCACGTCATTCCAAAAACGACGACGGATAAGCTTGAAGGATGATGTGCGGCACGTTGGAAGGTCTGGTTCAGGGTGAGGTTCAGAGTGCACCACTTCGGTAATGGGTCAAGGTTAAGAGATGTATGCTGAGTATCCGTTTACCGGTGTCCGTTGGTGCGTTGATGTGAATTTGGAAGGCCCTAGATCATCTCTCAAACTCAAAACATGTTAGTTTTCATTGGCAGAGCCGATGTTTCCGGTGTCTACAAAATGTATATACAACTGACCTCATCAATTATCAATCCCTTCCGGCAGGTGCTAGAGCCTTTCTTGCAGCCTGTTTTGAGCTCCCATGGCTTTCTTATGTTTTCCTATTGCTGATGAGTCAGGTGTTGGGACTGCGGATCAGATTGTCACTCTCCAACTTGATGATTTGCACAGTGATTTCCACATTTCCACTTAGGATCTACAGGATTCTCAGGATCACTTTCAGGATCCAAACTGTCCATTCCGTTGGGTTGCTCGAAAGGTTCGGCTGTTGATGGCGACCTCCAACCATCGGAGGATCGTTTGCGCTCGCGGACGGCGAAGGGAAACATTGGCACTGCGCTGATGAGACAGGCGCCCGTGCTGCATGAGGACGAGGTCGAAAGAGATCTGGGGGGAAAAAGACATGACAGAAGGAAAGAGGTGCGAAAGACAAGGTCACCCGGTGTTCATGTGTTCATTGTCATGGAATCAAAAGATGTAGAATCGACGGTTTTCCAAAGCTATCTAGTGGGATGGAAAGGTGTAATGGATGTGGGCCATTACAGCACCATGTCAGGTCTAATCATTTTTATGCATTTTGATTAGTATTTTTTTCATAGTGAGTCGGTGCCAGGACCAGCATGAAGAACAAAGAGCCAGACTGTAGATGACCGAAGGATGTTCAACCAGCTTCTGAACAGAATCCTCCTGCGTCTCATCAGTCTCGCGTGAATAAACACATGAATACTGGGCATAAACACCATGAATCTGCTCTTCTTCTGAGAATCGACAACATCGCTAGTCCTGTTGCTGGTATCAAGCTTCTACCCAAGAATCAGAGCGCCACAAAACACTCCCAAGATCTCAATATCCAAGAATCATGTCGATCCATAGAGTGACTCCAGAGTAACTCCAGTGACCCTGTTCGATCATATGGCCTGTTCGATCATATGGCCAATCCTGGAAGCGAAGCTCAACTCTCGGGGCTCATCGGGAAGTCACACAGCCTTCTGTTTCTTCGTCGCGACCAGCGCGCGCCGGCGCGGCACGGTCGTGCTGCGGGGTCGTTGTGCGGGTGAAGCAAGGCCTTCCGGAAGTGGTCCGATGGGGCCAAGGAGGACTCGGTGGTGAAGCACCCCGCAGGAGCGCGGTTCACGACAATGACCACTGGACTTCGGTTCGTGACAGTGGAATTCGACACATGTTCGTCGAGTCCCGAGCTCATCGGACATGTGTTTGTTTTGGTTGGAGAAGAGATACTTGGCACCGCCAAAACATACCCAAACCCGGGGTTGTGTTCGGGTGAGTCAAGTGTAACTGTGTAACTTGTAGCCACAGGCACAAAAGATAAGATAGCTGACATACCTGAGTTGTCCTTGCTTTTAGGGCAAACATGTTAACTAGCGTATAATAGCATTATTAGATTGGGAAACCGGTGACTTGCAATCATTTGCTGTTAAGAGCAATGATTCTCCACCCCCTCCTTTGCTGTGTATCATTCCAAGCCAGGCCGGGTGCGGAGACCCGGCTTGAACATGTCGAGAACGCACCGGGCACCAGGAACCATTTTTGAGCGGTTGGCCAAACGGTGGGTTCCCGCAGTTGATGGCAGTTGTGAGGTATTTTTATGTATTTTTGCACCTGGTGACAACCCCTGTGTGCTTCTTAGTATCCATTGATATCCTTTGTCTGTGTGTGTGTGTTTCTATTTGTTCGGTGTTTTCTCTTCACTACCTACCGGCTTCGACTCGACTTGAGGACCACCAGAGGTGGTGTGGCGGGGACTACCTGGGCGAATCCGTACCCATGGGTCGCTGGAAGAGGTCGACTGTGAGTAGATGGATGTGTATCTACAGAGGTGGACCTCCCAACCAAGGGGTAGACCGGGTAGACTGGTCTAGTTCTTTCTTCCAGGGGGTCGAACTGGGAGGTCTCCCTATTTTAATACACACCCACATATATAGATGCTTCCCAAGGAGGTCAAGACTACCGCTTCCCACTTAGCGCCGTCCCTTGCACAATTAATCCTGTGACGTGTGGACATCTCTCCAGGACATCTCTCCCAGTTCTTCGTGGAGCACAATGACAGGGTCTTAACTCAGAAGCGCTATGAAGGAGTCCCGTCACATCTGTCGGGCAATCTTTGTACCGTGGCGAAGTGGCCGTGGCGAAGAGGAGGAAGAGAGAGGTGTGTGTGTGTGTGTGTGTTTGAAGCCGCTTAATAAAGCAAAGAGACGCTGGAAAGAATGTGAAGTCATGATCAAATTCAAGAGTTTAAGTTTAAGAGTTTGAGTATGTTTGAGTTCAGCCTGCAGGTGTTCAATCGGAAGTATAGCATGTTACGGAATCGCTTAGATTTGGTTGCATGATGCTGCCTTTTTACTGGGGACAACTCCAAACAGACCCACTTCGTGCACAGCTGAAATCGCTTCGTCCGACGTACCGCGTCCGACGGGTACGTCGCTGAGCCGGCGAGAAACCGCACGAGAAAGCGGGGAGACCCTCGATTGAATAGGGCCTGAAAGAGGTAATAGTAGGGGGAAAGGTTATGGGGGAGATATACTTCAGGCGGAAGAATGTGTGTTTTTTTTCTTAGGTCGTAAAGTCTTACATCTATGTGGATCAGCCGTCAAGACTGTCAAGAAGAAAAACTGTTGTCCTAATATGCTAATACAAGTGCTAATATCCCCGTCGACATTTCCTCTATCAAATGGGTGGGCGTACGCCCCGTATACGGGCGATTTTTTGTAGAGAACCTATGTGGGCACTAAAGTAGTTTGTAAAAATCACTATGGTTAAGGAGTTGCAATGCAGTTGAGAGAACATACGCATTTTGTAGAGCCTGAGTGTCTTGACCCCCGCCCTTTCTATAGACTCAAATTCCATGCCTGCAGATTAAATGTTTTGCACAAGGTCTCCTTGGAATGTTCACGGGGATGTGCTAATACATTATTAGCTTGAGAGGTTCATGGCAGAGCTGCCCCCCAGCCTTCTTGCCACAAAACCTCCAGGTAACTACGCTGTGGTCGACCGACGCTCCAAGACGGTGGTCATGTTCTCCCGGATCTATGACAAGCACTCAAAGACGCTGTGTAAGGAAGAGGCACATCCATACGGCAGGGATCTTTAGAAAGGGTGTCCAGTGTGTTCAGCTAGAAAAGGAAAGGTGACCGTCAAGCAAGCTGTGCAAGTGTAACTTACTATGTCAGTGTAGCTTTGAAAAGGGGTGTCAGACTTGTCCCCAACCAGGTTTGAATGCCACCTCTCAAGGAGCGTTTGTTCTCAAAACACTTTTGCATTTGAATGGCAGGCATGAGATTGTTGACTGAATACATCTGAATACTTTCCACCCATCCATTCGTCAAAGCTGCCAGGTGGACTTCATCCACACCATGTGATTCCATAGGACGCAGTCACTGCTGCTGGCAAAAAGGGGCTTGCGGAGGTTCATGACCTTTGCGCACTCTTGGATGATTGCAAGACCGTCCTGATGCCAAGAACTCTGGTGTATCCTTGTGCATCAATTGTAGTCCAGTACAGAACAGCAGCTTCTTGGAGTTTCACAGATCAAGATACATCATGGTACAAGTTGTTGTTTTTTTCAGGAATCTGAATCATGAATCCAAAGCAATCACTAAGGGATCGAAAGGAATCCAATCTGTGCTCAATAAATTCCAGAGGTGCACCAATCTACCAAAGAGGTCACGATGAGCACAACGAAGCGTCGTGGACGCCAGGTTGGGCCACCGTCGTAGGGAATGCTGGCACCGTCTTTCTGGAGGCTGAAACGTGGTCCGGCCAGGGAAACGTGGTCCAATTCATCCACGCTTGGTGGATGGTTTTTCATTTGGGACCCTGAAAACCAGGAGGAAAGAAGGAACATCCTAACCCAACACAGGTGCAGATCCCTCCAAGCGACAAGAACCATGCTCTCCAAGCTGCTTATTTGTCGATGTGCCCTCCCCGAAAGCTCCTTTTGTATCCCCTCACCATGACCTCATGGTCTCTTGTACCTTGGGCGCGTCAGCTGAGAATAGATCAATAGCCTCACTTCCACTTGCAATTCAGATCCACATGGATTGGCATGGCTCTCCATGGCTCTCCATGACCATGCAGGGCATTCTGTGTTGGCTGGGGTGCCTCCTAAAAGCATCGAAGGGCCCAATCAACCAATCAATGGAGCGTCATCGGTTTTAACCATCAGTGGTGTGGAGAACTCCCCAACTTGCTCTCCGAACACCGCTCAACATAAACACAATGATCACACGAGTCCAGACAGGCGTTCTTTGGATGCAGCTTTGTTTTCAGGACGCACATCAGGTGGAAGAGGTTGGGCATCACCTTAGACAGTTCTATTTGTTACATGGGTGGTTAGAGTTTGCCCAGTGGGCAAGAATAAATGAGGTGTCCTTTCATGTTGAGAAGCCCATATGCAGCACGTGGCTGTGCTGTTTCGCTGCTGCACAGGTGAGCTGAGCTGCCCAATGAGTTAACAAAAATAATCCAAATATACTAATGGAAGCAGTGTTCGCATTTAGACTATAATTTTCGGGTCTGGGATGCAGGGAACAGACCATGATTATATGTTTATTGCAGATATATGCATTTAATATTTAGAATAAAATTTATATTTATTATTAATTCTTAAATTTATATTCGATAATTTTGCTTTTGCTAAATAAATTTATCCGTATTGAAAATATTAGGATTATAAAATAGAATAGTTATTTTAGGAATGAATATATATATATATTTAATAATAGGAAAGAAAAATGGTAATGGAATAATATATTAGAATAATGATATATTATATTATAATGTTATATAATATATGGAATTGATAGAATAGATTAATTAAGAAATATTAAGGATTATGGATTTTTTATTTTTAGATAAAATATGATATAATTTGTAAATTTTGATTAATTTATAGTATAAATATATTTATGTATGTGTTTTATAATTTTATTGTTATTTTTTAGCTAAATAAGCATTATATTGGGATGGAAGGTTTATAAAATAATTATAATTTTGTGTTAATTTGGCTATGTAATTAATATCGATTATTATTAATGAATTAATTTTCGATTTATTATGATTATTGAAATTCATGAAATTTCCTTAATTTTCGTTGTATAATCTAATACGGGTTTGATTTACGCAGGCCGGAAATGAATGAATGAATATTATTTAATATATATAATTATGATATTGATTTTTTGGAATTATATTAAATAATTTAAATTGAATATTTAATATTATATTATTAATGATATATTTAATATTAATAATTTTGTTTGTTTTTGATTATGCCATAGGTTGGGGTATAATTATTATGTGGTCGAGGGGAATGCCCGGATAACGGGCATTAGATGCTTGGTATATGTATTTCTTGGGAATAGATATATTTGAATCATGAATGTTCTTAGTGATTGAGTATATTATTTTTGACGATTGTTATTTGTTGTGGCTCGTGTCTATGGATTTTTGAAATTCAACATTGGAGATGGCCGATTTGCCGCACCATTAGTGGGGAATTCGCCTTGTTTGATTTGTTTTGATTTATTTTTTGTGATGGATAATTCTCATTTTGAATTTTCGATGCAATGAATTTGAGCCACTAGATGATCGTAAACTATTCGTCATAGATTATTGATCTACGTGCGCAGCTCCTGACGGGCAGCCGAGATTGCCGAATAATGAAATAAAAAATATATTTATGTATATATTAGGGAATGCATGAAATGATTAAAGAATCTAATATTTATATACATTTTTGATGAGGATAAATAAATGGAATTTGGATGATTATTTTGAGGAGGAAATGGTAATGAATTTACTTTTATTTTAGTAATAGAATTGGTTTGATGAAAAATTAATTGTAAATATTGAAATTATCTAAATATCATGATAGAATATTGTAAATTAAATATGACATTTATAAAATAGACATTATTTTGGGATTTAATATATATGATATAAGATTAGGAATATATTTTCTTATTTTAATGTTATTTTTGGTATTGTTCTTGTATCGTAATATTTCTATAATTTTTGATGATATAAAAGATTTGGTAAATTGGAATTTATAATAATCCAATTATGAAAATGTTGTATATATCATTAATGATTTCATGATATATTTTCGTAATGTAAATGGTAAGTCGATCAATTATTATTGAAATTCTGGGATTCATAGAACATAATATATAATTATTAAAATATTAATTATATGGCCATATTACAATGCATTTTTCGTAAATATGAAATAGTAGTAGTAGCAGTAGCAGTAGTAGTAGCAGTAGCAATAGCAGTAGCAGTAGCAGTAGTAGCAGTAGTAGTAGTAGTAGTAGTTAGTAGTGGTAGTGGTAGTGGTTGTGTTTGTGTTTGTGGTTGTGTGTTTGTGGTTGCGTTTGTGATTGTGTTTGTGATTGTGTCTTTGTAATTATGTCTTTGTGGTTATGTGTTTGTGATTGTGTGTTTGTGGTTGTATTTGTGTGGTTGTGTGTTTGTGGTTGTGTGTTTGTGGTTGTGTGTTTGTGGTTGTGGTTGCGTTTGTGGTTGCGTTGTGGTTGCGTTTGTGGTTGTCTTTGTGGTTGCGTCTTTGTCGTTGTGGTTGTGTTTGTGGTTCTGTTTGTGTGTTGTGTTTGTGTTTGTGATTGTGTTTGTGATTCTGTGTTTGTGATCATGTCTTTGTGTTTGTGTGTTTGCGGTTGTGGTTGTGTGTTTGTGGTTGCGTTTGTGATAGTGTTTGTGATTCTGTGTTTGTGATTGTGTCTTTGTGGTTGTGTGTTTGTGGTTGTATTTGTGTGGTTTTGTGTTTGTAGTTGCGCTTGTGGTTGCGTTTGTTTGTGGTTGTGTGTTTGTTGTTGTGTTTGTGGTTGTGGGTTTGTGGTTGTGTGGTTGTGATTGTGGATGTGGTTGGGTATTCTGGTTGAAGATAGGTAGGGAATATTTGGATTTAAAGCTTGCGGGTTGAGATCTGAGATGTTCGTTTTGGAATGTTTGATCGGGAATTTTGGAATGCTTGATCGTGGAGGAGGAGGCATACGAGGAGATGGAATTTATATAAACCATATATAATTTTGATTCGAGAGGTGAAGGATGTCTTTTTTGGACTAACAAATATATTAATTGAATTTTTCTATATATATTTATATGTGTATTGATTTGCTAGCGAATATCTTTAATCGTTCGTTTTAATTCGTATGAAAATATGTTTTTTTTGGATAAATATCGGTTATATTTTGGTAAAGTGCGTGGAATTTAAATTTATAAATGAATTTAAATATTCGTATCTTTTAAATTATGGAAAAATTCCAGGATTTGGGGAATATATCTTTTTTAAGGGAAGGAATTGCCTGTTGTAGTATTAAGGAGGGCTTAAGTAGATTCTTTAATTTTGTTTTAGGATTATTTTTTCCGGTTGTAGCGATAATATTCCCGTGGCGATTCGATTTAAATCTTGGAGGCCGGAGGCATTGGAATTGTATTCTTTATTGCGTAAGGTAATTAGCTTCGGCATCTCTCAATTGATATTAATAAGGATCCATTAGATTCATTTCTAGCGATCACCCTTGATATTTTCTCCCTACGATTTCATAAATTATGAAAGGCTTAATATACACAAATTAGATCAACAATGGATGTATCTGCTACATCAATAATATATTGCAGATTCAGATTTAGACGAACCTAATGATCTCTTAATTTTTATGACGCTATATGGGGTGTTTAGATATATAAATCATCTGCATAATATGATGCAACGGAATTTATAGATTCGTTAAAAGGCTAAATGTTCGAAAAGAATTTGATGCCAAGATGTGCATTAATCGCATATGCCTAGGATCCCAGACTCTAGGTCCCCATCATCCTTCGTATATTCGATCAAATATAACCTCCAATTTAAAATCTAAATATATAATATATTATTAATAAAATAAAAATTTTAATATAATACGAATTAATAATCCCATATCCAAAATATATAATTACCTTAAATCTAAAAACATTCGATATTTATTTTATGAATTTATAAATATATTCTAAAAAGAATACATAAATATATTAATCAAATCGAATAAATTCAATAAAAAACAATATATATATTATTTATCATAATTAAATTCAATATAAATTCATATCAAAATTTATTAATATTTACTAAACATATCTTCATACATTTAAAAACTACAACAAAATGAAAATATTCAATATCAAATAAACGATTAAATAAATATATATTAAATATCAATTCCAAAAATACATAATATCTATTAAAATCAATTCAAAACATTACCTATAAAAATATATTTCACAATTAATTCTCTTAGCATATTTCTAAAATTCACAAAAATATTTAACCAATCAATTTATTTCAAAAGATATTTATATTAATATTTTTATATTATCAATATATATTATAAATATCATATATAAATAATCAATATATTAAATTTATATATATATTTCATTAATTTGAATTAAATCTATTTAATATATATAAAATATAATTTAAATAAATATAGTATCTATATATATTAAATATATTACAAATTCAATTCTTAATATCTATATATAATAAAATATTTAGTAAATAAATAAATGTTATATCCTAATTAATTTCGAAATATATATATATAAACTCATACATATATACAAATATTTCATTAATTCCTTCGCTTGCAATCTAAATCGCTTCAAGCTCGTATTAAGCTACATAACATGATATTATAAATACTTCAAAAAACATCGAAATCCCAATTTCATATAATCAAAA